TATTCTGGTAAACGGTATAACTTCGTTAGGCCTTCCCTCTCAAAGAGATGATAGGTGTTTTCGTTCTCTTGAGAATATTCTAAACTTTTCCATAGAACATGGTGCGTCCTTATGATACATTACATTAGTGTAGCGGTATAACAAGTTTATTCCCATCCTATAATCAAACCCAATTTCATTCCCGTCTCTCAAACCAAGTCTAATGCGTCTTGTTATACAAAATTTGTCCATATTTTTGTCAATAATTATTCGTTTAGCCTAATTCTTTCTCCATTCAACTCTAAATTAAGTCTAATTTTTGTTTATTAAACTTACAAATCCTTATCTAATCTTATAGATACCCACCGTACGCCAATTACATTGGTGATCCACCCAGCAAAAACGTTGGTCATTATGTGGCATCACAAACAATTCAAAATAAATAAATGCCTTCAATGGCATATATCCAAAGCTGCTAGACTCTCACCAGGTGACCAAATTTAGGCCGTACATGCTTTGATGAAATAAAACAAACAACATATACGATCGTGAATAGCGACTACTGCTCAGAGATACCCCTCCTTGCTATGCTTTGTGAAACGTGGAAATTTTGTGCTCAGTGCGCACATATGCGACACATAGCACTATCAGAAAGCACCGGGTTTGCGATACTGGCTAAGCTGCAATTTCGACACAAAGTGGCGCCATTGTTGTGATCACAAATCATGATTCGTTATGGCATAAATGTGGGTGTGGTGGCATTAATTGATGTAAAATGGCATGGCAGTTGACATCGCAAAAATGCAGTTTTCAATGGGTGTAGCATGAGAAATCAAGCTTTCAAACTGCACTCGTCAGACAGCTCACCAAGAATATGTTGACGTGCCTGTAAAGTTGCAATGAGCAAATGTCTTGTTCACATGACGGTTGTCCAACTGGGCTGTTCCGAACAGCGCAAGATGTCCAGGACTGTTACATCTATACATATAGAGGCATAGGCAGTCTATGAAAACTACAAGCACAGTCGAGAAGCGGTAATCCTCCGTCTCCATGGTGGCGACTTTGCCTAGCATGCTAGCACATCATCTAGAACTTTGGCAGGCATTGATGCAATGTTGATGAGGGTCGATGCAAGGAAGTCATTGAAACAATGGCCCTCAATATTGGTGAACTACGCTTGAAATAGTGTATTTTGGCGTTGGCGTTTGTCAACCCTCCAACAAGCCATCTTTATGGAACATTCCCAAACAAGCAGACTTCCAGGAATGCTGAATCCAGAATCCATTTATTAGCCCGGAGATGCATCCAGAAACTCGGCAGGCTTTCATGCATCATTGGTAAGCCATTGGATCAACGCGAACATTCAAAGCTCATGTCTGTGGAACGGCGTTGATGCAATGGCCTATCAATGTTGTATCAAGGCCTAACAGGTGTGCGGATGATCTAGGAAATTTCGAAGCTGGAATGTCACTTTGCAACCGGCCAATTGCAATTCCAACTTTGGCTATGTTGCTTATGGCCTACACATTTGTAGAAATTGGATTCGCTTGAAACATAAATGATGCATATAAGCCCTGCGTCTGACCTGCGCTATTTCCGCTTCCAAATATAAGGCGCAGGGAATCGGAGGACACTGCGGAGCACCACACGACAATCGTCGTCGCCGCAAAGTGCATGGGACATTGGACAGAAATTTGCAACAACTACGGTGCACCATAGGCACGTGCCTATGAGCCTATAGGCAGTGCGGCCGCCTGCGGCGGTGCCTTTCATGAGAAAACGTTGGCGCTCGTGGATGTGGGTGGGCGGTACAGGTTCCTGGCCGCCATGCATGGCTGTATGTTGGATTTCAGCTACGAGGCCGCCATCATTAGCGAAGCAATGAACACGTCCCCCACATGCAAGGGGGTGGAGGGCATTGTGAGTTCATCGTGTTCCAACTCATTTGGCGGTGGTGAGGGACCTTGATAAGTAAATTCGAAGTTGATGTTGCAGTAGTTTGGAGCACGATATTGCCATACGTTCAATCAGCCAATCGCTCTGGCCGCTTGGCACTCTTGCGTGTACTGCAGTAAAATGCTTCGGGTCGGAATTTCGAGTGAAGGGACCGAGCTGAGGCTTTGGGCTTGTGATGATGCATAAATGTGCCGAGCGCCGCAAGCGCGATGTGACTCAAGAGACCAATTTTCATTGTGCTTGCAACTTCAAAGTTGAGCATCGTTTCTCGTAGCCAGTGAAACCTTCCCAAAATAGTGGTGCAATTGCACACGGCGTCCCCCTCTGACGCACAGAAAATGCACAACACACGAACTTCAACCACGCGGCAGTTGCCAGGCCTGCTTCGTGCACGATGTAGACATAGATAGCATCTGTGTGAAGTGGGCAATCTCTATTCGCTGCAGCTGTTTGTACCGCCAACATTTCGCCTTGCTGCCTTCTCCCAGCAGCGGCAGACGTCATAAATGAGAGCCTGGTTGCGGTGCTGGAGGACCTGTCACCCGACTACAAAATGGCACGCACTGTTGACGCTCAAGGCCATCAGAACACCATCGACCTTCAGCCGCTCCTTGGCCAGACGGACGTCTCCATCGCCTGCAACGGCCGGACTGTGTCTGTGCTGGCTCCCTGCCATGGCACACTAAATATCGTGGGGGTGGGACCCAAGGGCAACACAGCACGAACGTGTCGGGGCTGGTGGATCACCGTGCCCCCTCTCAAGGGCACGATTGCCTGTTGTGGCGATTGGGACACTGGTGCAACAAACAAGGCTGGAGTGTTGGAAATGAAGGGCGGGTGCACGGGACAAGCCGTCCTGGAGACCGCAGAGACGATTGTCCACGGACAGCATTCCCCGGTGTCTCGACAACTGTGCGTTGGGAGCGCAAGAAGATGGTAACTAGCAAATCAGGCACCACGTCGGGACGAGGCGGCCGTGGTTTCTGCTTAGGTTATCATAGTACCGTGACTTCCGCAAGTCGTGGGCCTACAGATACTGTGATATACTGTGTTTGCTTGGTGTGTCCTGTTCTCATTGTTTCAATTGACTTCTTGGATAATTGGCACATGCATATGTCAGTGATCAGTATTTCAGTCGATGAAGGGTTGTAAGTTGACAAGATACTATTCTGTGTTCGTGGACTGTTTGCTAATCACCATTATCCTAGCACCGGCGATACTGTGAATTTCCAATCGCCGGCTTTGATGCAACCGGAGGGAGGTCGCGTTTTGGTTTTGTTGCATGTCTGTCGTGGTGCGATTGTTCTGAGTCAGTGCTGACAGCAAGGCTCAACAGGAGAAAAGGGCCAAATAGCACGTGCCCAAAAGTGTACAACGTTTACGGGTTTGGGTTATTTTTGTGGTCGCAGCGTGCATAACTTTGATGAAATGTGTTTCATGTGTGTTTCCAAAAGTGTTATTTGGTCTTCGTTTTGCTAATGGCTAAAAACCGGCAACGTGTTTCGCTTCGTTTAAAACTGTTGTTATTGTTTCAAATTTCCCCACGCCTCCAGTGGCGGCCAAAGTGACGTGGCGATTTGATGAAGTGACGTGACGAGGCGGATGCACTCTTCTGGGGCGCAATTCGACCGCGGTAGTCGATCCAGGGGAGCATGGCGCCTTGAAGCACACATTATGGCCATGTGTAAATATGTGGGAGTCTGAAGCATCAGGGACTGTTAGAATACGATGTGGACGCCCGAGCCTGTGATCCAGTTCAAAGCATATTCTGCTGGGTACATGAATTTCAGTACCGTCAGTGGTCCACGATGTATTTCGAGCGATTTTCGCACTCGACCCCTGCCCATGGGTAGATCTGTGGCCACAGATCCCTTGCGAGGGATGCACTTCTCAAAAGGCGAAGTAAGATCGTATTTCTGCCTTTTGAGAAGTACTAAGCAACATCAGATCCTCTAGCTTGGACTGTGCATCCTTCCTATGGCGATCGACGTACTTTTCCTGGTGCTCTTGAGTCGTCTCGAATCGCTGGTTTGGCACGCTGCTGGCCAATCTGCGGTCATTGCGCATGCGTATTGACCGTGCTCTTTGGCGCTCCCCTTGCACCCTTTTGTCGTACCTAGTAGTACATGTACTACTGGGTCCAGCACCTCAAATGAACTCCGCAATTGACGAAAAGGATTTTGAACGCCCGCAGGCCGTCATTACCAGAAACACAGAGGTGGCCCGCCTACATGCTGGTCATCATGCAATAAAAAGCAAACAGCCCTGCCAGCCAGCCCTCTCCAACTCCTGGGCGTATGGGTGTTCCTCCTTCCCCAGCCCACACTCACCCTACAAAAGATTCCCCCAGCAGTAACAAATGATAGCGCAGTTAACGCGGTTTACATCTAGGACGGCGCCGGGTGCGAAGTGCCAGATTTGGATGTGAACGGCAGCCAGCAATTCTCTTACCGCTACGGGACATTTTCGTTGGGACCCACCTTGCCCGTTTGGCAGCCAGTTTGGGTCTTGTTTTGTGTTCCGGTTTCTGGACTCACTGGCGGGAGAGCCAAAAGGGGGAGAGCAGCAGTGAGCAGCATTTTTTGGTTTGCCCCCCCCACCCCCCACCCCACCCCACTTGCCCACCCCCAACCCCATCCCACCGCCCATGACTCGTTGTTTGGAGAGGTGTTTTTGATCAACGGATCGCTCATTGGACCTCGGCATTGGGGGCACAAATGACGGGAGAGGCAAAACTTCATGCCCGATTTCTGGATTTCTCTCCTTGTACGTACAACACAAATACGGTATTGTATACATTAGTTTATTTGTACCAATGGGATTTGATTGGGACCTCCAGTGTGAGCATGGTTGTTGCCTCCAAGGGCGGGAAAAGCTTGCCGTTACGCGTCAGGGCTGTCAAATCGCCGTCAACTTCACGGCCCCCTCCTTAACAAACGGAACCCGGCCACGTGGTCTAGCACTTTGGAGACGCAACCCCATTTAACGCGACCCCCCCCGGCAGTCGACACCCCGAGCCCCACACCCCGCAGTGCTTCCCCCGCCCGGCGGATCCCAGGCTCGAGATGGCGCCTCCGGCCGCGATCTTCCTAGCGATGGCTCTCCTCTGCACCACAGGTGGGTCGCGCCGTTGGCTACCGACAGGCGCTCGGAGCGTGTTTGGCAGCCCTTTGCGATGCGGACACGCATGCGGGCGCCGCTTCCTCGCGCTTCGTCGCCCATTTCAGGCGGACGCCGCCTGGCCGGCCGATAACCGCGGTGGCATCCTCGATGCCGTGTGCAGATCGCCGAATTTATTCGTGTCCCATTCGCGAAAGCAAAATATGATTGTGCTGGGCATGCCCTGCATCACTCCCTGGCACCTCAACGAAAGCGAGCGACGCCGTGCCGAGGGTCGCACCCCATCCGACATTTTCTTAAGCGTGCTTTCCCAATGTTGTGTCATCTCGGCCCAGTTGGCCGAATGGACACTTCCCCCATTCCCTGCCCATTTTGGCCCCTTGGCAGCAATTTTCGGCAGTTCTCTTTTTCTCTGAATCCGGATTCGGGCCCGATCGCGCTAACCGCCCGTGCGTGTGCGCGCGCAGCCTCCGGCCTGTCGACAGACCCCGAGGACTACCGTCCGCAGGACGGGGCGTCGGCCTTCATCGAGCGCCTCAGGCAGGGCACCGCCCTCGCTGACTACCTCAGGCCCGGCAACCTGTCCTGCAACGCCACCTGCAACAACCAGACCTTCTCGGGCGAGGAGTGTCAGGGGGCGTTCAAGGTGAGATGCGCAGCGCGGCCCTCGGTGGGGCGTCCAGTGTCGTGAGGGGCGGAAGGGGGACGGTTTGCGACTTTCGGGTGCCCGGCTGCATGACGCACGGTAGGATGCACACCGGTTACGTGTCAATCACGTCAGGGGAGGAATGGCCCGAGCGGCAATGAAGTTCCGCGCGAAGGTGTGGATATGGCGTGGTGGCTGCTTCGGAGGCCAATGCTCTGAAGTCATTTCGGTCGGGCGCCGAGGCGGGCCTGACATGTCCGATTCTTTTGAAATCACTCATTGATGATGTCGTCGAGGGATGAGGTCTGTTGTGCTTGGGTAGCTGTCCACGGATGCCTAAGTTGACAAATCACAGCTGCATCGACGACAGTGTGAGCAACCGCACACAGCGCGGTGCCGAATGGCCCGAGGTGCCACGAAGTTCCGCGCGAAGGCGCGGGAATCGCGTGGTGGTTGTTTGGGAGGGGCAGTGCTCAAGTTGTTTTGTTCGGGCGCCGAGGCCGATGAGGCGGCCTGACAGGTCTGATTCTTTTGAAGTCGCGCATTGATGACGTTGTCGGGATGCGTTTTTTTCTTCTTGGGCACCTGTCCACGGATGCCAAATCCGACAAAAGACCGCCCTTATCCCAATTGACCGACGCTGGGAACGCGCCTGTTGCATCGACAACAGTGTGACCGAGCACATGCACTGCGGTGCCGAACGGCCCGAGGTGCGGAATGAAGTTCCGCTCGAAGGCGTGGGGGATGGCGTGGTGGTTGTTTCGGAGAGCAATGTTCAAGTTGTCTTGTTCGGGCGCCGAGGCGGACGAGGCGACCTGACAAGTCTGTTTTTTTTGGCCATCGCGCATTGATGACGCTGTCGAGGGATGCGACTTGTTGTTCCTGGGCAGCTGTCCACGGATGCCAAGTTCGACAAATCACCACCCATGCGCCCATTGAGCGACGCTGGGAACGCGCCTATTGCATCGACGACAGTGTGAGCGAGCACATGGAACGCGGCGAATTTGCTAAGGCCGCTTATTGCGTCCCATTTCGCCCTCCCTAGTTGACGAACCGGTTGTTCCTTACTGAAGTCCGGATTATGATTTAGGATGTTCGCTTTTTCAGATTGGTGGACAATAAGGGAGCAGATGTTGCGATGACAATATCCCACCGTCGTCGCCAACCTTGCAGGATGGCTTTGTTCAGTCGTGTGTGACAAAGGCGGCCAAGGAGTGCCACTTGTAGACGAACGAATAAGATAGCATGCACCACAAGCCACCACGAAGAAATGCATTTGTCTGGCTAAAATTCCCCGAACAAAAGTGTGCACCAAAGGCTGCCTTTGTCTCCACGGATGCTTGCCTTGTGCTACGCGAGCCTGACCACAAAAGTAGTATATCGAACACATGGTTTTGTTCTCATTTTATCACGTGACTATGATACGATATGTTTCAGCAGATTGTCCCAGCTGAGGAACAAACCTGAGATTGTGCTTTGTGACTTCTATTCTTCCGGTGCTGCTGTGCTTTGTTCAGTCAATCAGGAATCATCACGTAAGTGGTCAATGTATTCGCTCATCAAATGGCGTCCTAACGGTGGCCGCAGGCGGCATGATTTAGGCTCTGTTCGAAACTGTTTAATCTGCTAACAACCATGTGCCAGCAGTTTCGACACTGCTCAGCAAGGCCGAAAATTCTGTGATATGGGCAATTCTTTTCTTTCTGTTGCAACATCCGTCAACTCGGTACTTCGCCCTAAGAAGGCGCTGGCAATGGAGCTTGCATTCAAGGACCCTCGAGGAGGTGTCCCTTCGCTTTCTGTGTCGCCCCAGAAGAATCGTGTAAATGAATGTTGCAACAAGCAAGAAGAATTCATGACCAGACCCTGGATCACTGTCCATCAGGCTGTACAGTGAATTTCCAGCTTGAAAGTGAATAATCCCACTACTTTCTCGCTTTGGTACGTCACACGTCTCACCTGAGCAGAAAAAAGTCCCACAATCAATAAATTGATCGATCAATCAATCAATCTATCTATAAACCACCATATTAAACAAATAATCAAAGAATCACATCCCATTGCGTATCAAGACAAGTAGACAGTCTCCTGCCGCCTTTTGCACCCACAGGCAATGTGTGCTGATTGGTTCGCTGAGTGCATCCGCAGGTGAGGTGCCACGGGTCGCTCGGCAAGCCCGGCCGCAACGCCACGTTCGTCGCCCGCATCCGCTGCGACGGCCAGTGGAAAGAGGCGGGCGGAAACGGCAGCGCCGCGTCCAATCCCACGGGCAAGGAGGTCGTGTGCAACGGCGCCTTCCACGAAAGGGTGCTGGCCTTCAGCGAAGTCCGCAACGGGAGTCGCTTCAGCGCGATGGCCTACGGCTGTGCCTTCATGTACAGCTACGAGGCCACGGGGCTGGGGAACGCCAGGGTGCGGTCGCACACGTGCCAGGGGGCTGAGACCGTGAGGTCTATGTCCAGCGTCCCAAGCAGAGGTGGGCGAATTGGCGCTGCACAGAAGCGGCCTGTTCATGGGGGCAGAATGCGACGAGAACGGCAGGCATCGGCACGGGTGTGCGGATCATGTCGTCCGCCAGCTTTAAAGACAGCATCTAAAGATCGGACAATATCGTTGCGCGACAACGTGCAATGACCTAGCTTGGCGATCCGTATCAATATCGATTCGTTGACGTGCCGTTTCAAAACGGGGCCGCTGATGGCTTCCTAGCTAACTTTGGGCGCCAGTTCGCTTCAGTGGACATGGTACGTGCATGTGCATGTGTACATTTGCCTTCCTCGGGATCGCGCGACACGGGCGACGACAATATTCGACAAGTTTTGGTAACCGCGATCAACGCGGATCTACTTCCATTCGTCCGTCCGCCGGGTCGAACGGCAGAACCCCAGGCTCTGCTCATTTTCTGTCTTCTCTTCAATTCATCATCATGCGTTGGCCTTCACAAAGACAGGGAGCGATCCTCCGACATTGCAGGCAATCAAGCACCTCCCCCAAAAATTGCTCATCAAAGGAAAGGAAAGTTGTCCTTTCCCAGTCGTTTTATTTTCCTTTTTTTTGTTGGAAAGAACGACAAAACCACTTTCCCTGTTCAGTCATTTCACCGCTCGCCGGGTCTGTGTCCCTGTTACAGCAGGCAGAAGAAGCGTCACCCTGAAGGACATGGAGGCCATCCTGCAGGACGTTGCGTCCGACGACGACTCGACGACGCTCGCCGACGACTCGACGACGCCCGACGACGCCCCCGTCGCTGACCGCAGGTCCCCGCGCGGTGACCGCAACGTCTCCGTCACGTGCAACTCCCAGGAGGCGTCCCTCCGGGAGCCCTGCCACGGCACCCTGCAGGTTACTTTGGAGGGCCGCAACGTGACGGTCGCGCAGATGTGCAAAGGGTGGTGGATCCCCGCCCCCCGGGAGCGCCGCGGCTTCACCTGCAGCGGCGACTGGACGGTGGGGATGAGCAAGAGCGGCGGGCGCGGCAGCGGCTTGGAGATAGACGGCAGCTGCACTGGGCACGTGGCCATCGCGAGGCGCATGATCTCCGCCCGCGGCCACACCTTCCGGGGGTCGCGGGAGGTGTGCATCGGCCGCGCGGACGCCTCAGTGCAGCTGCCCGAGCCCCGTCTTGAGCCGCCGGTCGACAGGGCCTCTGCCGCCGCGTAGAGTCGTCGATAATATGCAGGTATCCGTTTCAATGCATAATTGCGCGCGTCTAGGCCTGACGTTCGGGGCCGGCAACAAAGTGTTTCATTCAGTGTGCTTGGACAGCTGCTATTCAGGTGTTCGTTCAGTGGGAATTGGGGCTTGTGTGCATGGGGTGCCAGGGATTAAGGGATCCACTCCTGGGAGTCTACTCCAGTTAAGTGGTCGACTACAGGGGAAAAAACAGAGGCACGTCCTCTTCGCTGTCATTTGCAGCACGGAGGGAGACTGCTGGCGGTCTTTGGAAGTGACGATGACGGGGCAGATAGTGTTTTGTACTGCGCCGTCAGGGCTTCGCGAAACTTCGAGTGTGGAGGCCGAAATGCGAGAAATGGCTCATTCGCCAGCAAGCGCTCTCGAGAGAATGGTTGGAGATTGACGCTGTTTTTGCGGCCGCTTTTGGCGGCATCATTGTTATGCTGCGAATAAATTTATTTTGGCTTACTGCGCTGTGTAACTTGTGAGCTGTTTGGGGAAGTGTGTGGGGTGAAGTATTGTCGAACAAGTAGCCGAACTTTTCTGGACTGTCCGATTGGGCATCCCTGAACCACTGCCTTGTGCGACAGTCGAGCTCGAAATCAATCAGCCAATGGTTTTGCATCAACACAAAAGTGTGCAGTTGTCAATTTGACGAATACACTAAAGACAAGCAAGGCACAGCCGCTCTCCCGGAAGACTGCCCATTGCTCGATGGCCTCCGCCCACGAGTATGCAATCTTCCACACCTTCCAACAGCTACTCGCCGACCACGCAAAACGCCCCAAATTGATTCCCCTACCTGCAGTCCGTTGGGGAAACAACAGCTGCAGCACATTCTCTCCAACATGTGCTCGGAGCCAGAAACCTCCACACCCCGCGCGGGGCAACAGTCCCGCCCTTGAAAACCGCAAGGCCAACAATCAACCATCCGAAACCCATGTAAAAAAAGAACGCCCAACAAACGTCTCTTCAATGGACAGAATAAAATACTTCGTGGCGCCATTGTCGTGTTGCTGAATGCTCCCGTGGGGGCCGCATGTCCGCCCCAATACGCAAGCATTCCCTCAATATGTGAGAATTCTTGACCGCCCCAATGCGGCGCCTCAGGCGGCGCAACGCCGAACTTCGTCCGGCAGTTGGTCCATCACCGCCTCCGCCGCTTCCAGCGCACCTTCCAAAAACCCCCCGGACTCCCACGCCACCTCCGTGGACCCCATAAGCAGCCGGCCGTCCCACAGCCCCTTGAGCGCCCGCGGCAGACCGTACGCCGGGTGGCCTCTTCCCCGTCCCCAGTCGCCGGCGGTGGCTGTCTCCTCCTCGAACGCCCAGTCCTTCACGACAATCTCCAGGGGTGCATTTGCTCCAGGACCGTACATCCTCACCAGCTGCGCCTTGGCATCTGCCTTGAGCGCATCGGCATCCCTGCGACCATCGGGCGGCGTGGCCACGAAACCGAACAGCGCGTAGGGGCCGCCGGACCTCGGCGAAGCGTCGTGGATCTCCGCCAGCGGGCCCCTGCGGCTGATCCCGTCGCCGGACAGGCCAGCCTCCCTCCAGAAGGGCCGGTCGAACGTCGCGATCAGCTTCGCCTGGCCGGCCATCCACGTCGGCACGGCGCCCATGGCGCCCAGCGCGGACTCGGGCAGCCCGCCGGCGAAGTCGACGGCCTGGGCAACCACGCGCGGCGGCATGGCGAGCACGGCGCACTCGGCCATTATCCGCACATCCCCACCCATCGAAGACACCTGGGCGACCACCCTGGAACTCGGATTCCCTTCCTCGCGGCACAGTTTGGTCAGCCTGTGGCTCAGCAGGATCGCCTCCTGGGGCAGTTCGCCAACCATCGCTTCAACCAGCGCGCCAAACCCCCCGTCCAGTCGCAGGGATCCCGCCATTGATCCGGACCAAGCGTCCCTCGACACTCGGCCGCGCTCATCCTCGTGCACGGAGGCCCCCGCGGAGTGCTGCTCGAATGGCGTCAATCCCAGCGAGCGCACCAGGGACACCATCCGGGGCTGCCCGGGCCAGTACCAGGCCGGCCCGGCGTCGAAGGCCGCCGCCTCAGCGCCGTAGCGCAGGGAGGGGGAGAGAATGCGGCCGCCCAGGCGGTCGCGTGCCTCCACCAGTAGGAAGGGGATCCCGGCGCGCTTGAGGTGGAGGGCGAGGGAGAGGCCGGACAGGCCGCCACCGCCGATCAGCACGGAGGTCCCCAGGGGGCGCGCCATGCCGGCGGCACCTCGCGGCGGGGGTGGTGGCGAGCCGAGCAGAGTAGGGCAGGTGAAGGCGCGGTGCGGACACATTCTCGCCTTCCCGAAGACGAGCCTGGCTTCATAGCGGCCGCCTCGCACTTTGGCGTCTTCCATTACGCCACGACCACGCCCGTCTCACCAGGAGCCCGTTGCTGTTACGTGACATCAAGGTACTCAACAAGCTGTTAGCAATGCGCTTGTGTTGGGCGGTGGTGTGCCTTTACAGCAGGTCATGGCTATGCTCCCCGGCTCGCGCTGTGGCAAATGTGGGGCGCCACCCTCTGCTGCAACCCAAGATTCTGCTTCGTGTGCGTTGCCCTCCATCACCGAACCCTAGACCAATCCCTTTTCAGCACGGCCGAGCGACAGCATCTTCGCGTAATTAATCACTCTGCGCCCAGATAGTCCATCAGATGCTCGGCAGAGGTTCCAGAAACGAATTCAGGCCCTGCCCTCAAAGCTGTTCAATTTGCTCTTCGTCAGTGTATACTGTTCAAACCAGCTCTCAATTCTCGTACATTCCATGCGCCGTTTTGACAGGGCCACTGGGGTGCGCTCAGCAGGCTAGAGTGCAACATGCTGTGGCTACAGACCTTGCATCGGACCCCCGACAGCACACTCAGCCCCAAGGGCACACAGCGTCACCCCAAAACACACGTATGCAGAGGCTACCACCGCTGTATGTCCCATCTAGTGCACTATACAGTGATCCAAATGACTCGACAGTAGTCCATGCGTCCACGCCCTTGTCATACAGCTACCACGCTACCCCACTCCCAATCAAAGCATTCTGTTGTGCCTGTGGATTGAACGAGCTGACTGCAGCTCCAAACACTGGCTCCCCTGCCACAAGCAAGAGTTGTCTGGCAACAGAATCACAGTCAGCCCCACTGTGCCTTCGAATGCAGCAAGTTTGGCTCCAACAGGCCAATTGCATCGAAAATGCTCTGGGCATGTGGCACCACTGTCTTCCACTCAATCACCTATGTTCGGCACTCTTTCAAAGCTCGTGCATTGGCAATGGCTCCCAGCGATGGCCACTCTCGAGCCAGTTGTCACGCACAGCTTGGCTGCATCTGTAGTCCTGGCCCAGTCCTAGGGAGACAACAAGTGTAAGGAACGCCCAGCAACATCTCTGGTAGTTGTGCCTGTGTGTTGTTGTGGTGCATTCTGTGAATGCTTCATCAGTTTGGCTCTACCGGAAACATTTCTCTCAGCACTTCAGAGAAAGCAGCAACATTTGCCTGCCCCCCAACAGTCCTCTGCTCATTATGTCAGCAACTAATGCTGACATAACTGAATCATGCACTTGTCCGCGTCGCACCACTGATGAAATCGAGGTTCGCAAAAGCCATATCTCTTCCAGGGCTTTGACAACCAATTGTTTGTGATATTCGTTGGTGTGTACAACTACCACCAGACAAATTCGCACAGGAGTGCCACCTTTCAACGTGTGTCAACCAGAATCAACCACCCACAACCTCAATCTCGTCCGAACATTGAAGTGGTCAGCGAATGAATGAAACTCCTGATCTCTCCTGGGGTGCTGAACACAGAGCCGTGCACTCTACATGAGGTGCATCTTCAGGACTTGCCGTGTCGCCCGTCGAACCCGACATTTTATGGAGTGCTTTCCCAGACGTTTGTGGGCTTCAAAACGGTGGCAACCATTGAAGCCGTAGTATTGGCCCTCCACCTGCAACACGCACGTGAATAAATGCAACTGTCACCACATCAGCTGGCACCTTGCCACGTAGGCCCACATCCTGATTGACCCAAGTCCAAGAACCACGCGATCTGAATACTCCCTGTGGATTGCTCAACTCTCAAACAAATCCCACGTTGCAAGGCATTAGTATTTGGCATCAGGAGTGTTGTACCAGATTTTCAGCATCTATTGTGGTACAATAGAAGTCAGCAGACTGGTGAAAAGTATACTTGTTTGCTTTGTTCAGGAGCGAATGTACACAAAAGAGGAATTGTTGAGGAAACCTAAACAACTGCCTTGTTGTGGTCCGGTACTTATGGATTTGGACAGAACACAGCATCAACGCATGGCTAAACTAGCCACTGCTTTGCCATGAACTGCCGCCTGCAGCCAATACGAGTCTTTCCTTGGAGCTTAACCACCTGGCCAACTGTATGATTCCAACCTGACCCTTGCAGGAAAACAGAACTGGAACATGGCATTCTGGGTGGTGACAAAGCATACAGAACACAGCATCAACGCATGGCTAAATTAGCCACTGCTTTGCCATGAACTGCCGCCTGCAGCCAATACGAGTCTTTCCTTGGAGCTTGACCACCTGGCCAACTGTATGATTCCAACCTGACCCTTGGAGGAAAACAGAACTGGAACGTGGCATTCTGGGTGGTGACAAAGCATTCCTTGCTTGAGTGGGCAAGAAACTGGGAAAAAGGGCAACTGGATCAAGATTAGGGACAAAGAAAGAAGATGGGGGAAGGAAGAGAAAAGGGATACCTACCTGCAGAACGTCGATCGGCTCCACGAGCCCAATCTCCCGGATGGAGTCCATCAGCGCCTCGACCTTTTCCAAGTCTTTCTCCCTCGGTATGGGGCGCCGAATTTCGGACAGGGGGATGTCCACAACCCGCGGGTCGTCCTTGGGCACGGCTTCGAACGTCCAGCTGTACTTGGACTTGGGCTTGAAGGGACCGGTGCCATTGGACGCCGCGCTGGTCTGGAGCCTGTTGTGGCCGCGGCAGCGCTGTGGGGGCCCAGCAGCCACCGAGGGGACCCTTACCAGCATCTTCGTCCGTCTGGGTACGGTGGGCAGGACCGGAGGACCGGAGCGAAAGGCCTGGCCGAGCGGGCTGGCCTCGCAAATGGGGCCGCCGCCTGCCGCGCTGTTCGCTGCGGCGGCGGCGAGTGCCTGCCTTCCAGGGGCGCACCGAACGGCCACCGGGATGGGCACCAATAGCCTGTGCTTTGGGGTGCAGGTATGTAGACAGAGGACAACGCGCCCAGTGCTTCGTGCAGGCGCTGTGGCCCGGCCATTTGTCTCCCTTACCCAAATTCAATCTTAACGACATGCAAAGCAGGCGAGCACGTGAGGGGGCGACACCGTGTACATTGGCCCCCCCTCCCCACCGCATGCTGACGCCCAGCGCTGGCTCCCCCACCGTCGCGACACTTATGTCGCCAGGCCTTCAAACCGCGCCACACCCGGACGCCACACCGCCAGCCGGCGCTCCGCAGGCGCCGGCCGTCAGCCTCACGAACCCCTCCTCGTGACCGCGCTTCCGCGAGCCTCTCATCGCCAAGGAGTGGGATTCGCGCTGCGGCGGGATCGCCGGCCTGCCCCGTCGGCGCCCAGTCAACGCGCTCCGGACTCAGGCGACGGCGGGATCCGCGCCGGCCGGCGCTTCTGAGGTCGCGGCGCCCAGTCTGGCGCGCTAGGCGCATCACGAGGCTCCATGGCGGGCCACCAACATGCGGCGAGCCACACGGAGGGCGGCCTCCTGCGGGGCAAGCCCCCCTCCCGCCACATGGCCAGGCAGCATTCGGCAACGGGGATCGCAGGTGGGGGCCGTGAAAAGTTTTGCCCGACCCCTCTGCCTGTAATTTCGAAAATTTTGGCCGATTGGTTCAGGGCGGGGGATCTGATGGGACCGGCGTGTGTTTGGTTGGGGGCAGATCTGCGGCGCGGGGGCTCGGGCATGCCGCACGTGCGCACGGCGCCGGAGCTGAGGGCGCTGGCGCTGGCGGTCAAGGACGAGAGCAGCCAGGAGACGCTGAGCGCGCCGCTTACGCGGCTGGCGCAGAGCCCGTTCGAAGGTGGGCCCCCTCGGGATGCCGCCAATCCCCGCAATGGCGACGGAATGAACCGCTCCGTCAATTGGTCAATGGCCGCCCCGCCGCTTCCGCTTCTCGGGCCGCGCGACGGGGGAATGTCCTGGGGGCCGTGCCCCGGGTGCATGCATGGCTCCAGTTGCTTCGCGAGTTCGGGCGCTCGGATGGCGACGCAAGCACCGGACGTCAAAAAAGCGCCGGCGCCTGTCTGGCGCCCTTGTCCGCGCCATGACTGTTTGCGCCACGACTCGTTGATGGCGCCGGCCCTGGTTCCTTTGGCCCTTTGGGCGATCGCCTGGAGCCTCGTGGTGCAAACTGTGCGCGTGCATGCCTTCTTGTGGTCGAGAATAGACGTTCTCGAGAGTGGACTCCGGCTCTTGTTGCGATTCGCGCGCTGAGGCGAACGCGTTGCGGCGGCCCGTGGGCGCGCGGGGCTGACCCCTGGTTCGTGGCACCCGCGCAGGGTGCGCCGAGGAGGAGAGCTGGCATCCATCCCAGGGATGGCGGTGGATGTCGCACCACCTGTCGATGGACGCGCTGTGGGCGAAGATCAGGGAGGAGGCGGAGGCGGACGCCGTGAGTGACGATCGGCCTCTGAGCAGGGAGGAAAATATCGTTGAGCGGGCGGGCCCTTTTGAGCAAGTATTTTGCGACTCTTTTGCACGCTTTCGCCACAGCAGTGCCCTTGAGCAACTGCATTCATTGGCCCTCGACATGGGCACAACACAGAACACAGCGCATACTTGCAGGTGTAGTTGTGTCCATTTCGTTGCCTAACGCAACCCTTTGCTCGATTCGGGAAATCAAGCTCTAATTGACCTGCACGGAAGGGCTCAATGTGCATCAGGAACTTGCACAAGCTTGAACATGCACCACTGGTTGCCACAGGAAGCTGAACCGACGCTTGCGAGCACCCTGCACAGCACGGTGCTAGTGCACCAGAGCTTCGAGAAGACGATGGCATTCATTCTTGCAAACAAGCTGGCATCATCGACTCTGCTGGGAACGCACCTGATGCGTCTGTGCCAGGATGCTTATGCGGACGACCCGGTGAGCAGGTCATTTTGTGTGCCTGCAATCTTGGCCTGTGCACTGCGTGTGCTGGACAGAGGTTGCAGGGGCCCAAACCTTGATATTGCCTTTCTGAGTTGCGATGGCACTAGCTTTCTGGGTGCTGCATCTGTGGTGTTGACTTGAGCCGTCTTTGTGTTTTGGCCAGGCCATAATTGACGCCTGCAATGCAGACTTGCAGGCTGTGATAGATCGCGATCCTGCTTGTGACAAGTACACACAGTGCATACTGTACTTCAAGGGCTTTCAAGCAGTGCAGAGCTACCGAATTTCGCATTGGTTATGGAAAAAGGGCCGAAAGGTGGGTGAGAAGGTGACACTGTTTTTGTGTTGACAACACCCGCAGTCCATGGGGACGCCTGCCACAATGTCTTGCTTGCCGAGCAACACTGCTTTCTTGGAGATATCAAATCAACAGGCAAAGTCAGAGAAGGTTGTGTGCTATTGTGAGTTGGTCGCATGATGGCACAAGAACAGTTGCCAAGGCGTCACCATGTGCGGTGGTGATGCATGTTTATGGGCCTGTGCATGGATCTGCCACAATGCAGTGATTTGAGAGTGTGCCTGTGCATGTGCATGTGGATTCCCAGGCTCTTGCTCTGGCCCTCCAAAGCCGCGTGTCTGAAGTCTTCCATGTGGACATTCACCCTGCTGTCGTGGTCGGGAGAGGGATCCTAATGGACCATGCCACGGGAATTGTCATGGGAGAAACCGCGGTTGTTGGAGACAATGTCAGTATGCTGCACCATGTCACTTTGGGGGGCAGCGGAACTGGAAAGGGGATTCGGCATCCCAACATAGGTGAGGTGGCCTGCCGTTGCAGTTACTTATTCTGATTACATGCAGCACGATGCAGGTGGCATCCTTTGTATCCAACTGCGTCTGGATATAGTTATCTATCCAAATGCCGTTCTAGTGTTATTCTCCGTCCCAGCACACTACAACTGCCATCAGGTCTAGTGCTGTACCGATCTTGGGCCTCCATGCAAACATGATGGCCTGTCACTGCGATCCACAGCAGATTTGCAAGAGACCTGTCTCCCCAGAATCAGTTGGTGGTGCACAGGCGTGCAATGTGCAGCCCACACAAGGGGCAAGTCTGACGAAACCAGTTGCCCATTTTGACTGCACGAGCTTGGCTGCTGTGTCTGATACATCGTTCAGGCTCTCTCTCCTTGAGGCCCCCGCCTAATAGTTTCTGCATTTTCGCATCCTTGCAGAGACAGGTGCAAGTGCACTGGGTAAATCCGATGTTGTTCCAGTTGGCTTTGAATGAACAAAGGAAGGAATGGATCGTTTCATGCAGTGGATTCGTTTCCACACAAGTGCTGTGCACGGCTCCTGACTTTGTTGCTCTTCTGTGTGGGAAAGGACACAATCCTCACAAACAGTGATGCCATGCACTGCACTGTACACTAGCTGTAATAAGTATGCAATCAGAGACCCTGTTGTTGTGTTGCAGTGATAGGAGCACACCTGCTGCTTGCATGCAAGAAAGGTAGATGTCCAGTATGTTGAATGAGTGTGACATGTTGTGGTCATTGCAACTTGTGCAGGGCATGGAGTGTTGCTTGGGGCTGGTGCCACAGTGCTGGGCCCCATCCACGTTGGAAATGGGACAAAGGTCGGGGCCGGTACTGTTGTGGTGTCTAGCCTCCCGTCGCACTCTGTGGCTGTGGGTGTTCCTGCAAAGATCATCAAGACAGATGAAAAGGCCGAGCCGTGCCAAAGCATGGACCAGTGCAGTGGATTCATCCACAACTATGAGATCTAGGCTGCCGGTCGGCTTTTGCCACAGAAACGCACGTGATTATTGCTGGTTGGGTAGTTTGAATGTGGGTGCTTGTACTCCAATGCAGCTGTTGGCGCGGTAGTAGTTTGGGTAGTAGTTGCCCTGCCCATTAGTTCCAATCTTGCAGTGCAGCCCTCAAGCAGTGTGGCACAAGCCTTCAAATAGTGGACAAAGAGTTTGGCAGAGCTTCGATAATCTGGCCTGGAGGAGCGACGCTGCAGACATTGTCCAGTGGTGGAGGCTTACTTCATGCTGGGCTCCACTCATCAGTTCTTTTTCCAGATAGTTTCTTCGTGGTCTCCCTGGCCGTGTCGCCCCGCAACCAGGGACTCCCTGGCAGGGAGATGAAGAATTCTTTTGCAGTTCTATTGACTGTGACAATGACTGATATCTGCATTGTTCATTGATCATTGTTTTACTGTTGAGTCTGGAATGGGTCAGGGACATAGGCTTTGTGTTCACTTCCCCACCACTGGCATAACGAAATGCCAGAAGTCAGAGATTCGAGCAGAAACTGCAGATTTAAGCCCAGAAAACGGCAGAGTCCGTCGCTTGCTCAAGGTGAGAAGCTGTGCACATTGCAGTACTCCAACACTTGGAAGCCTGCCCAAGGCACTGTTCACATGTTTGTCATCGCTCTCAAATGCATTGACTTCCAAAAGAGTCACATCGGGGGGGCTAGCGTCGTTGGTCCAGTTTTGCCAGGGAAGGACATCGAGGAATGCAGAATGGCGGAATGGTAGTGAAGTTCGACAGCCCTGGAGTGCAGATACTGCTCAGCTGCACAGATGAATGTGCAGGCATTGGCTTCAGTCTTGACAGATGCTGTGTTCAACAGACCGTTACTGTGTCTATGTCACCCGCATTTTCATTCAGCCAAACAGTCGCCAGCGTTTATGTGCATTTTCATTCAGCGCTCTGGCCACACCAAATTGACACTGAGTGGGTCGAAGAAATGCCCTCCAGCAGAGGGGGCTGCCCAGTGCACAGCCTCGCTTCTGCCCTCAAGGAATTGACACATTGGCAGGGCACCTGACCGGACTTATCTAAACTGGCGTCCCTTGTGCTCTGCATGGAATGACACAGGGCTTGAATCCCGTGTGTTGGTCTCGGCATCAGGGCATTCTCAAGGCTCCTCATCTTGATCGCTCAAGCGAATGCGCACATGACTTCGTGCTGTGGCACAGTGCGCAAGCTGCCCAACTATGGTTGGGAGAGCAGAGAGAACACCCGCCTACCCTACACTTGCTGCTTATCTCACTCGTCACCTCGTGGTGCCTGGTGCGGAGCTGCTGCTCTGTCTTCTCTAGGGTGTGTCATAATTGAATAATCCATGCGGCACATTGGAGGGTGGAGGGGAGCTCAGCCCATCACCTTTCACGAAGCGCTCTGGCAGCAGCCAAGTCCGTGTTAAGGAAACGGTCCATGCCTGAGCAATGAATGAGCTCCATGGAGTGGCTGTGCCACTATCGCTGTGGTGGGAACTTGGGACGCACATTTTTGCGACGCCATGTCCTTTTAGCCCGGAGGGCTGCGCATCTGACATCAGCAACACAAACACGAGTTGGAGTGCGTGTCCGTCCACTGACCTTTTCGCAGGGGAGGGTGGGGTTCTGCTTTGAGCACGTGTTGCAAGGTATGCAAGAGAAAGAAGCTACATCTTCTGGCGTTGCAAGGAATGCATTCAGACATTGGGAACTTTGTCCTAAAGCTGTACGTTTGCCACTTGTCCACCTCCATCCTGCAACCAGAATGAAGTCCATTTGGACCTGTTAATTCTCAAATACCCACACCTCGGGTTGGAATCTCAACGAGGGTCTAATATGGGGAGAAGATCGACGCGTTCAACTCAAACAGCATTCCGTTGAAATGATGATGACCACCAAAGCACCGCCTTGAGGGACGCAGCCAAAATGAGAATGTTGCCCGGCTGTCTGAGAAGTCTGTCGCCTTTCACAAGGTTAGAACAAACATGAACTTGTTCGGCATTTGATGCACGTATTGAACAGATATCTCAATCTGCCTTTCTGCCCCTGAATTATCACATGAGGAAGATAGCGCTGCAGTAGAGGGCAATGTCATCGTGGCGACATTGACTATGACCAGAGCCACTGCTCAAGCAGCGATAGGAATGGGAACAAATTATAGAGCCAGCAGTTTCAAGGCGCCTCTAAGCACCAGTTTCCCTGCCGCTGTTGTTTCCTGTTGGCTTGCAGAGGCGCTGCACGGCCCTGGCCATTCTGTCGCCTGAAAATGTTGCAAATTCCCATCCCCACCAAATCTGAAATCTGGACGCCCATGTCGCGAGTACCGCGGCCAGCAGCTTGTCGTCCACAAAATTTCAGGACTGCAGGCTCCAGGTCCTGGTCTCAAGTTTCCAGGACCGAGGCAAATATGGAAATGCAACAAAACAACAGCCTAGTAGTTTGGGACGGGTGCTCCGCATATTATGCAGCTTGATGCTTAACGGCAGACCAGTTGTCCAGTTCGGCATGGAAATCGCAACGGCGACTGCCTTACAACAGGGTCAATTTTTATTATCATTGCATTTATGACATTAACTATCTTGTTAATAGATTTCCACCCAGGACGACGTTGGGTGGGTTGCGCCGAGTTTCGAATCGGGCGCAATCGTATTCAAACTGGTTTCTGGCCCTTCCTTGTACCTTGGGTCAGTCAAAGTACGGAGTGTCCAAGGGTCCGCCCGTTTTGGCGGCTTGGACTTGGCGGGCTTTGGCGGGGCTGAGCAGGGGCGGCTATTTAGGCTCCCTGTGGTAATTTCGTGCACTTTGTTTGGCGAACTGCTCGTGGGACTGTGTCTTGCGAGGTCCCGTAGGGGGCAAGCTCGGCCGAGCGAAGCGAGGCCGTGCGTAGCCCCCGAAGATCCCGCCGGAGATAATGGAATTAATGAGTTTAATGAACATTAATGGAATTGTGTGCCGCGGCTTGTAAGAGCGTGCGCGGCCACGCCGATTGTAGTTCGATTGTTCTGGAACGCCTGCCTCCCTGCCTCCTCGAGCGCAGCAGCCGCGCGCCTCGGGCGGGACCGCACAGAGCGGCCGTCACCCACGGGCCAGAGAGAGCCCGGGACACGCCGTCCGGACGAGGACGACCACGCTTCCACTGGAGAGGCCCTAGAGCGCGGGCCAGGGTACCTGGACGCAGCCAAGGGGGGACCGCGCCGACAAATTGGTTTCGGAGCTACTGGCTACGACGATTGGGCGTCGGAGGCAAGGCTAGCGGAGCAGCCTTGCCGAGGCACAAGCCGGGGCGACAACCACGTTGGCAGGAAGCGCGCGGGAAGCAGATTCGAGGATTGGAGGTTGGCAAGTTTGGATCGATCGACGGCATCGCCATCGCTGCACCCGGACGTGAGTTTTTGCTGTGCTGTGGGTGCGGAAGTGTGGGGCACCCTCCATTACGCTGAGCGCAAGTGTTGGTGGGGCAATCGCTGGGAGTTCTGCTGCTCATCATAGTCTGAGATGTCTCAAGAGGGCCGGATTGGCATGGAGCTGAATGGCAGTGAATCCGGAAATGTGCATGGGCCTGAGGATGCGCCCATGACCGAATCGAGTCAATTGCCGGCCATTCCCATGCCGCGATTGGATCCGGAAGCTGAATCCAGTGCTGCGGGGTCTGGGGTACCAAGCCGAAGGCCGTCAACCCCTACGCGGAGAACTACAGCCGCCAGTGCAGTTCCATCGTGGATTCCTACAAAAGCACCGGCAATGAAGCGGCGGAGCCCAACACCACCACGAAGCCGATTGACGTTGGAAGGCGAAGCTGTGAGCACTTTGCAGCGGACACAAGAAATTGCACAATCGGCAGCTGGGCATGCAGGGGCAGCTCTCCAAGTTGCCCAGCAAGCGGTTACGGAGACCGCAAGTATGCGCAAAGCGGTGGAAGAGGCGCTGACCAAGTACTACCAAGCGTCCACTGCATTGACTGCAGAGCAAGTGTCTCATCTGGCAAAAGACACCTCGCATGAGATGCAAGTAGCCGTCCAAGAGCGTCATCAGCTCAAGACTCGTTTGAGGGAGCAACAGGAAGAAACAACTCGGTTACGGCAAGAACTACGCGAAGCTCATGCTGCACAATCTGCAAATGTGCAAGCATTGCAACAACGTCGAGTTGAAGAGCAGGCCACGACATCTGGCAGAATTGAGGACCTCCGAACGAGGCTACAGCAACAGAAGGCATATGAAGACCAGAGGTCCTTGAGGATGCAGGAGGAACTGGGAGCTTTGAGGCAACAACAGCAGGCCCAAGGTTCACAGATGACCACCAGGACAGATGAGCTGATTCTATCCTTGAGCGAGCAGCTGGAGTCCTTGTGACGGGATTTGAGTGTGGAGCGGGAGCAAAGGCAAAAGGTACAGCGAGAGCTGTCTGACTATAAGGCAGCCTGGGATGAGCCTCTCTATCAGAATGAGGGTTCGTATTTACCTGATGCTGTTGTTGAGTCTGCACCGCCCCACTCTGCTATTCCAGTACCTCCAGCTGATCCGAACCGGCCTGATGACTTTCAGTTTCCTTCAGCACTTGTGGATCGAGAAGTGCCAGTTCAGAATCCTGTGGCAGTACCAGTGTTTGTAGGAGAGTCCAGTATCCGACCATCAGGGTCAAGTTTGGCTGCTCAATCAGTACAGCCACGATTGCAGGGACAGGGCAGCCAATTACCGGGAAATGTTCCAGTTTCAGTACCACCAGTGTCTGCAGTGCCAGTCAGTTTCAGTGCAGGAATCGCTGGACAGAATGTAGCAGGTGCATCCGGACCAGTTTTCCATGTGACGATGAAGCCCAGGGAACCCCCAGTTTTCTGTGGCAAGACTAGTGAGGATGTGGAGAGCTGGATCTACACGGTGTCAGCGTACTTCAGGACCGTTGCTGCACCGGAAGAACAGAAAGTGGGATATGCTCTCACTTTTCTGCAAGAGGCTGCTCGCGAGTGGTGGATCAACACCATTCGTACTACTGGACGA